GTAGAAACTTTAGGATTTCAGTATATATTTATTTTTATGTCATCTGCAAATATTAATAGTTTAACCTCTTCTTTTCCGATTTGGATGCCTTTGATATCTTTTTCTTGCCTGATTGCTGTGGCGAGAACTTCCAGCACTATTGAATAAAAGTGGAGATGTGGACAACTTTGCCTTGTTCCTGATTTCAGAGGAAAGGTTTTCAGTTTTTCACAATTGAGCATGGTGTTGGCTGTGGGTTTGCAGTGAGTGGCCATTGCTATATTGAGGTACGTCCCTTCTTTGCCTATTTGGTTGAGAGTTTTTAATCATTAATGGATGTTAAATCTCATCAAAATCTTTCTCTCTCTATTGAAATAATCATATGATTTTATATTTTCTTTTGTTTACATGGTGTATTAAATTAATTGATTTGTGTATACTGAACCATCCTTCCTTTCTTGGGATAAAAGCCACCTGGTTGTGATGTGTGGTCTCTCTGATATAATGTTAGATTCAGTTTGCTGAGATTTTGTTGAGGATCTTTGCATCGCTATTCATCAGTTTCGTAAGTCTGTAATTTTTGTAAATTTTGTTTAGTGATATATCTGTCTGCTTTTGGCATTAGGGTAATGTCGACTTTGTAAAATTTCTTAGAAATGATTCTTGTTTCTTCATTATTTTAGAAGAGCTTTAGAAATACAATCATCACTATTTCTCCCTCATGCATGGCCAGACTGGTTTGAAACCCTTGGGCCCTGGACCCTGAGGCCCTCTTCCTCACCATTGCAGCCCCTAGATCAGGGAACTACACCACCTGACACCAGCTCTAGTTCTCCAAACCCAAAACTGCAGATGCTAATGTGTTCGCATGAGATTGTTACTGAACACACTTCATATTAAAGACAATGGCTGCAACAACCATATTTCACTGACCTTTATGCAGTCATACACCTCAGTCAGCTAAACAGAGTCACTAGTTTAAAACCCCTTGTCATATTCCAAATGTACCACATGGTAAAGAAAATAATCTGAACAACAGAGGTATTATCAGTATCCCTTTGGTATAAGCAACTTGAAACCAGTTCTTAGGTAACTGGAAATCCAAACCTCCGACATTAACCCACATAAAATTCAAAGAGCAATGTGGGAAACTAAGGAACCCAACTGCTTTGTCAGAAATGGAAACCCAGGCAAATCCTCAAGTCCATTAAAATCCTTGAACTTGGTTGACGAGAACCAGAAATCAACATTCACTACATTTGCAATCAAACTTAAGCAAGCACTGAGCAGAGAAATTTGACCAACTCAGGAACTAATACAGAGGATGCCAGATTCCATACAAAATGAACTGAAGGAACTAAAGAACACAATAACAAGTCTCAGTAGCAGAAATGCGCAGCCAGCAAATTATAGAGATGAATTAGAATACATAGAAACAATCTGTGAATTATAGGAATATCAGAGGGAGAGAAAAACGAGAAAGGGGAAAAATAAAGAGTGGGTGACATCATAGCTGAGAACTTACGCACTCTTTGAAGGAGGTTGATACACAGATTTAAGAGGCCCAAAGAGTACCAAGAAAAATAAACCCAAGCAGAACAGCTCCAAGGCATAATAATCAAATGGCAAAATCCAAAGAGAGAGATCAACTTCTTAAGTTTCTAAAAAGAAGAGAAACCTTCAATAATAAGAGACACAACATATGAATCACAAGTCTTTCAGATGAAACGATACAGGAGACAAAAGAGTGGAATGACATATTTAAATTACTGAGAAAAACTTTAAACCTAGAGTTCACTACTCTGCAAAGTTCTCATTTAGATAGATGGAAGAAGGAATATAGTCATTAGATCTTGAAGTTTTGGTAGATATAACTAGTGAACAGTATTAGGGCTTTTATTCTTGGGGATATTTTAATAACATTTAATTTCCTTACTTATGATCGATCTACTCAGGTTTTCTACTTCCTCTTGATTCAGTCTTTGGAGACTGCATGATTCTGAGAATTCATTCATATGTTTGTTTTTTGTGGGGCCACACACAAATGTTGCTTAGGGCTTACCCTTGCTCTGTGTTAAGGGATCACTCCTTGCAGGGATTGGGGCACCATATGTGGTTCGTGGGATCCAGCCCATGTTGACTGCATGCAAAGCAAGTGCCCTAAGAATTCATTCATTCATTTTCAAAAGGTTTTCCAGATTAGTGGCATAGAGTTGTTCACAGTAACTAACCTCTTATGATCCTTAGTATTTCAGAGTTATCCGTTGTAGATTTGATCTGCTTTTTGGGGGCTTCTGTCTTTTTTTATCTTGTGAATCTAGGTAACGGCTTGTCAGTCTTTTATATTATTATTTTTTAAATGAACACCTCCTGGTTTCATTGATACTTTGTATCGTTTCATTGTTTTATGCTGTAATTTATATTATTCCCTTTCTTCTACTTTAGGATTCACTAACTGTTCTTTTTCCAGTTTCTCAAAAAGAAAGGTTATATTAGTATTTTGAGCTTTTTCTCTTTCCAGATGTAAGTCTATATTGCTATATACCAGTGATTAATAGTTTGTGTCTTCATTCTCTTTAGTTCTAAGAAGTACTTTCCTTCTTTGATTTCATCTTTGATCCAACATTTTAACAGTACATTATTCAGTCTCCAAATGTTGAAGCTTTCCAAACTTTCATTTTCTTAATAATTTATCATTTCTATTTTTTGTGACTTTATGGATAATTTAGCTGTAAGTGGTCTTTCTTGGAAAAGGCTGCATGTGCAGTAGAAAAGAATGTGTATTTGGGTTTTTACATTCTTTTAGGTGTAGGGTCCTGTACATGCCTACCAGCCCCAGTTCTCCCAAGCACTCATTTCTATAAGACTCTCTTGTCCTTATTAATGTGCTGCCTAGTTGTTGTGTCCAGTGGTGAGAGTGGGATTTTAAGTCGCCCCACTACTGTTGCATTGTCATTAATGTATTTCCATAGGTTAAAGTTAGAAGTTACTATTATAAAGTTTACTGTTTCTTCCTTTTGTGTGTGTTAGTTGATGAGAGTTAAGTCCTCTTTCTCTTATGATCTCCTTATGTAATGTTCATCCCTATTTCTGATTATTTTCTTTACCTTGAATGTTATGTGTTGTGACATAATTATGGCCACACCAGTTTTTTAAAGTTATAGCATTAAATCTCAATGTTTTCCCGTCAGTCACTCTGAGCCTGTCTTTATCATGAGAGTTTAAGTAACTCTTATAAGCAACAGAAGGCTGAGCTTTGTTTTTAGATCCATTCATTCAACCTGTGACTTTCCATGGGAGGGAGAGCTCAGTTCATTGACATTTTAAAAAGTTATTGATATGAAGGTATTTGTTGGCATGTATTTCAGAGAAGTTTGGCTGCTTATGCCATTTGTTGTTTGTGTTTTTATATGAGTTCATTCTCTGTCTCTTCTAGAACTGTTTTAAATTCTGATCATTTTCTTAGCTGCTGTTTACCCGAGAATGTTTTTAATATCTCCTTCAGATCTTGTTCTTGACCTTGCTAGGTAGATGATGCTATGTTGGAAATTATCTTCATTCATACTTTATACATGTAATTTCATTCTCTTCTTACTTGTAAAGTCTCATTTAGAGAATTGTGCTATATAATTTTTTTTTGCTTTGAATGTGTGATTTTTATTTTTCTTGCTGCCTTGTTTGTTGGGGTTTTGGGCTGCACCCAGTGGTACTCAGGGCTTATTCCTACCTCTGTGCTTAGGGCTCACTCCTGGTATGTAGTGTCAGATATGGAGTCAGGGTCAGTCATGTGTAGGGCTGGTGCCTCACCCTCTGTACTCTTTCCAGCCCCTCTCGTTGCTCTCAGGTATCTGTCTCTGCCTCTTGTTTTTGCCTTTTTGATTACAGTATGCCTTGATGTTATTCTATTTGGGTTTATTTGATTGGTGCTCTTCTTGCCTCTTGGATCAGTGGTCCGATCTCACCCCCCCAAAAAAAACTCAGATTGGGTATGTTCTCACCTACAATTTTCAGCTAGCCTCTCTTTCCCTCTCCCTCTTCTTCATATGGAATTCATATAATTTTGAGTTTGTTCTTTCTGCTATTGTCATTATTACCTTTTTTATTTTTAAATTTTTCTGTTTCTCTTTTCAATTTCTTCTTTCTTGGTGGAGTTGTTTTCTGCATCTTTGAGTTCATTGTTTTCATTTTTTTTCCTGCTTCATCCATTTTGCTCTGACTTGCTGCTATATGTTTTTAGCTCCTTCAATTCTGTTTAAATCATTTATTTCATGTTTCCATCAAGTTCTCTTGAAATTTATTGATTTCTTTGTTCACTTGTCATTTTCAATGTCAATTTGAACACTGTTATGACTGTTACTTTGTCTTTTTTAGGCAGATTGCAACTTTCTGATGTTGGGGCTCTTCCTGCATTTTTGTCACGTTCTGATAATTTTCTTCACTTTCTCATTCTTTCTGGTGTTCCATTAACCCAAGGCTGTTGCTGGTATTATCTGGGATCTTGCTCCCTCAGTGGATGTGCATAGTTCAAGCACTCATCTGTGCTGGTGTTTTGTGTTGGCATGCTTCTTGATGGTGTCTGGGGCTTTGCCGCACCCTTTCTATGGTTCAAGAGGACCAAGGAAAACTCTGATTTAAATACCTTTAAATCATCTTCTAAATCTTGAGTATTATGATATTTTAGTAATATACTTTTATAATTAATTATATAGCTACTATTACTATGTTACCAAGCTGATTAAAGGGTCTATTAGAGAGACATTGATCATATCATCAATTTTTGTAGATGTACATTATTCAGTGATACAGATATTTGGTTTATAGTGTATGCATATTTTGTGTATGCATGTACATATGTCCACATACTATGAAAATTCTGAGAAACTATTTTCCCAAGTTAAACAATAATCTTGTCAAAATTTATAAAGTAAAAGGCAGTCACTAAAAATCATATTTTGTAAAGATACCTTGTTTTATAAAGCTGATTATTTTCCTACGTTACCTTTTTTTTTAATCTTTTGTAGGTGATCATAGCCCTCTGGTATCGCACAATTATGGGAATAATGAATTTATTTGGGATAGAAACTAAGACCTGCTGGAATGTCACCAGAATAGAATCTATGAATGAAATTGAAAGCTGTGAAGGCATGTTTCTTCCTAAAATACTATTGCATTGTAATTAATGTTTACATAATCATATTTTAGTGCCTTTGTTTTAAGAGTTTTTATAATTTTTATTTTTTCCCTTTTTTTAAACACCTAGAACTTGTTCACCTAAGAGGTTATATCCCTGTGTAATTTTGTCTGAGAATGCTATATACTTAGGAATATTAAACTTGAAATTTTATTACAATACTAAATACCCAAATCTAAAGCAATCTTATATATTAGTTATTATTTAATTCCAGAATCAGAAGATACAAAAGGAGTAATGGATATAGTACAGTGATGTATAATATTCCTAGCATGCTCAGGGCCCTAAGTTTGAGCTCTGGGGCCCCAGAAACCTTATTGGGTATGACCTGGGTCCCCCAGTACTGCTTTAGAAATATTTTTAATGTTTTAAATTTTACACAAGTGACATTTGATGTTTTGTAACCGAAATAGATAAATATGAATGATATTTTTGTGATATGTAGTCTAATATCTACTTGTAATTAGCTATGCATACATATTTAAAATAAGATATAAAATAGATTGTTTAAAGATTTTTTTTGTCCTGTTGCTGTCCACTAAGTTGCTTTATATATCTCCCACATGCTGTCTTTGTTGAAGATCCACTTTTGGAGCACCTGACTTAACCAGAACCTAGGCTTCTAGTTAAATGTTTGAAATCTAGCACCTTTATAGTCTTGAGTATGATGTTCTTTTTTAAAACACAAAACCTCATGTATCTATTTGTCTCACATTTATACCATTACTTTCCTTTCTATTTCTTTGTTTTCTTCACATTGTATAATTATTATTGATTATTAAATACTTGTGTATTAAGTACTGAGATAATTATACCCATTCAAATTTTAGTTATTTATTAAAAAATCAATATATATTTTCAAAGGATTGGGAGACCCTGCTTGCTTTTATGTTGGTGTGATCTTTCTTTTAAATGGATCACTGATGGGATTATTCTTTGTATATGGCACATTCCTGAGGTAAGACTATTGTATTAAAATATTTATAAAGTTTTGTAATAATTACAGGGTGTTACTCATATTTATTGATTGAAACAAATTATTAATAAAGAAAAATTTAAGAAAATTTGAAGATACACTGGCAATATTATGTAAAGAGGAATTACATTTGTCATTAAAGTAACTTTAATGGATTTCTTTTATCCTAGTGGGGATTTTTTGAGAGGATAATTGTGTGTGTGGTTTTATTTCTAAGCTTTAAGTTGTAATCCTTTGATATGTGTATACGTTTTTAGTTCTAACATTTTTTATTACTGTATCTTTGTGGAATAGTTTGAAGCCATAGAGCATAAATAACTCCATTTTGTTCTTTTTTCTCAGCGGAGTTTCTGCTATTGGATGCCTTCTGTGGTTTCCTAATAACTTTTAGGGGGATTGTCTAGTCCTGTGAAGTATCTTAAAAAGAATTTCATTGAATATGTGTAGTGCTTTAGGTAAAAATGAACATTTTGACCAAATTGGTTGATAATTTGTGTTTATGACCATGGAATGCTTTTATGTTATTTATTTTAGTGATATTGTAAGACATCTACATGTATAAGCTTCTATCTTCTTGATAAAATATATTCCTAGTTATTTTATTTTTGATCTGATCATAAAATATTTTGTCTTCATTTCTCTTTATAAATTTGTGATATGCATGTATAAACACAAGAGACTTACATATTTTGTAGTTTTGAGCTTACTAAATTCTAACAGTTTGTGAACTGTGATGTATGTACATATACATACATAAAATATGTCATTCATGTATGACATGCTTCTTTTCAGTCTGAATACCTTTTTTAATCCTTTTTTTCAAACCTAATTTCTGCATGGCAGAGCCTGGCAAGCTATCCATGGCATATTCGATATGCCAGAAATAGTAACAATCAGGGGTCTCATTCCCCTGACCCTGAAAGAGCCTCCAATACAGTAGCATTGGGAAAGACAAGTGAGGAGAGGCTGCTAAAATCTCAGGGCTGGGACAAATGGAGATGTTACTGGCGCCCGTTCGAGTAAATCGATGAACAACAGGATGACAGTGATACAGTGATAGAGTGAAATCTAATTTCTATGATCAGGGCTTCCAGTACATCATGACAGTGGTGAAAATGGATGCCATTGTCTTACTACAGGTCTTAGAGAAAAGTACTTCGGTCTTTCATCATTGAGTATGATGAACTAGGACTTTGTCAAATGTGGTTTTTATTATAATTGGCATTTTTCCCTTCATCTGCTTTATTCAGAGTTTTTTAATCATAAATGAATGCTGAATCTTGATCAAATGCCCTTTTCTTGTGGTTAAATTTTTGTTTTCATTTATTTTAAAATAGATTTTATATTTCTGGAGTAACATAGGCTTGCAAGAATGTCAGCATGCTCTAGAGATGCAGTAGTACCACACCATGCCCGCCACTACAGTGCCAAATGGGCCTGTTGAGGACTGGTACATATTCTTCCCTTTCCTTCTCTCTTCCCTTTCCTTCTTTTTTTTTTTGGTTTTGTTTTGTTTCTTTGTTTTTTGGGTCACACTCGGCGATGCACAGGGGTTATTCCTGGCTCATGCACGCAGGAATTACTCCTGACTGTGCTTGAGGGACCATATGGGATGCTGGGAATTGAACCGGGTCAACCGCATGCAAGGCAAATGCCCTGCCCGCTCTGCTATCACTCCAGCCCCCACCTTTTCTAGTTCTTGCTCATTTTTCTCTGGCTCTCAATTCAGGAGTTCCAGAAGGTGCTCTCCCTTACCTTGGATGGGTTCTGGTTTTCTTTATTTTGAGGCTTATATCAGGCTTTGCTCAGGACGTAATTCCTGGCCCCACATTCAGGGATCATTCATGGCAGTGCGTGGGGAACTCTATGTGGTACCAGGGAACTAGAAATCCAGCTCAGCTGCAGGCAAGGCAAGCACCCTACCTACCGGCTTATCTCTCTGATCCCATTTCCAGGTATTAGGAACAATCTACTCTCTACCTCTCATGGAAAAGTTGCATAAAAAATTACCTTTTCTAAATTGTGCCCAACTGCCTCTGAAGTCAGTTTTCTTCCTTAGCCAGGATATATCTCTGGTTTTGTGATACCTGTCTTACGGCTTTTTTAAAAAAATTTTTTTTAAACCACGCAGTGCTCTGGGGCTACTCTGGTATGGTACTTGTGAGAGATCATGTACTACAGGGAACTAAACCTGCTGTTCCTGTATGTAGAGCAGGTGTTCCAGCCCTTTGTGCCATTTCCTGTCTCCTAGATGCTAATTTTTAAGCCTTTACTATGGAAGCTCTTTTGATTTGGATTTCAAGTCTACTTCTGTGTAGATTATCCTATGTAGATAGTTGTATATTTCTTGTGTGAGCACAAGTCCTCCTTATTCCACCCCCATTGGTTCACCTCATCACGTCCTCAGGCTCGTAGTTGATTGGTAACTTATCTTTCCTAAAATGCTGCTCTAGTTTCAGTTGGGATGGCAGTATGCCCAGTATCAAGTGATAAGTTGACATTGATTATTCTTGTATTCAGCTTTCCAATCTTGACATATCCATATAAGCTAGCTTTTTCAGAGAAATAAGATTTTACAAATAAGAAAACGTTTTCCCTTTCCACAAAAGGATAGATTCAAGTTCCCCTGCTCTGTTTCTTCTTGTATTTACTTGGATGTGATACCTTGAACTACAGCCATCATTGTTGCAACCGTGAGGGAAGGTTGTCAAAGTACACAGTGTCTACCCTGACACCCTTTTGCTTCTGAACTCATTGAAATAATATTCAAATAATGAAAGTCACATCTGTTAAAATTTTTGTTGTATACAAAATACATTAATAAGCTTTCTTTATTATGGTTGAACTATATAGCATCTAATGACTAAATTTAATCTTTCAAGAATACTTTTTTTAGGGCTGGAGAGATAATACATCGGGTAGGGAGTTTGCCTTGCACGCGACCAACCCGGGTTCGAGTCCCAGTATCCCGTATGGTCCCCTGAGCACTGCCAGGAGTAATTCCTTAGTACAGAGCCAGGAGTAACCCCTATGCATCGCCGGGTGTGACCCAAAAAGAAAAAAAAGAATGCTTTTTTTACAGGGTTTACTGATGTTTAATATTTAATATAATAATTTTAAATATAATTTTAAAATTCTAGGATAAAATTGTATTAAAATTTACAGTACTTTGCATGAATTATGATTATGAACTTTACTTTTACAGTGGAACTCAACTTGGTGGCCTAATTACAGTATTATGCTACTTTTTCAACCATGGAGAGGTTTGTTTCTAAAGCAGTTTTTAAATATAAGGTATATAGGAATAAGGAAATACATTCATCAAGGCAATAATAATTTTATATTACTTGGTACTTCACAGTATTTTTAAATAACCCTTCTTGGTGGCCATCTGGTAGTGTAGTATAGCAGTTGGGGTTGATTTGCAGCACCACGTTGGGAGTCCCCCAAACCACCAGGGTGGCCCAGCTATCTTCAGGGTCACAAGATGGGAGCATTCTCATATCCCTAGGCCTTTGCAATGAGGTTGGCCAAGAGTTTCTGGGGGAGCCTCCAGACTTCATAAGCACCATTGGGAGCCTCTCCCACATAAAATGGCTCATCTTGTAAGTTGACACTTCCACAATGCTGATCCATATGTTTACATAATCATTAAATCCTTTACATTCATGTAACGGATTTACATGAATGTAATGGATTTAATGATTATGATTACAATACATGCTTTCCTTGTTTTTTACTATGTACATGTAAGTACATATACATACGTTTGTTTATAGCTTCATTTACTCCCACCATGAATTTTGGGGAGGTGTTTCTAATTCTATAAAAGTTACAGAGTCAGAGTTAAAGTGATTAAGCTACTCATCCAAGATTCTCCATGCTGTACAGGTGAAGCTGGCTGTCTGTAACTTCTCTCTGGCTCTGACTCTTGCATGTACTATTATGGAACACGATACTGTTACTATATAGAACACCTCATTTCAGCAAAGTCTGACATCTTTGAAAGCAAAGACATTGCATATGTAAGAGCTAAAATAGATATGCCAGTCTTGACATGTTAATATTCCTGTCACTAGGGGGATTTCAAACTTTTAAGGAAAGGAGAGCAATGAATTCAAACTGTAGCTAGTAAAATAGGGTGACATACAGTAGGACAATTGGGAATTGCTAACCATAATAAAATATGTACTGAAAAAGGGTTCCCTTGTTCCTCTCCTTTGGTAAAAACTGACTCTAGGATTATCTCTTGGGGATGCCAAGAATAATTAATTTGGCTTAGAGATATGGATGGTTGTTCTAAGCATACTAATAAGAATGTTCTGTGAAGACCAGTTAATGCAAATAAGCATATAATCTCATACTGGTGAGAGAGCCATGTATTAAATATTGGAAACGATGGCTGAGATGTGGAGAGAAATTCTCAATTCTCTTTTGGTGGAAATATCGTCTGGTTCAACCTATTATGGAAATCAATGTGGAGGTTTTAGAAATGTAAAACAACTTCCATAAAATCTGAGTCCAGTTCTCAATTATGAAACTCAAAAATGTTCATTCAAAATGATATATTGCACATTCATGTTGATTACAGAACTTAGTGCAATAGCCAAAAGCATAGAAGTATCCCAAATGTCCAACTATAGATGAATTGGTCAAGTTGTGGTGTGTGTGCACAATGGAATACTTTGAAGCTATAAAAAAGGAAGAAAGCATGCAATTTGCTGCAATATGGATAGAAATGGATAGAATTGCAAGTACAGCAGGAAATGTTATGCAAAATTATGGGGAGAAGGACAAATAATGAGTGATATAACTCATCTGTGGAATATAGAAAGACAAAAATAAGATATTGCTGAAAGTTGTTAAAAACTTTGTCATTGGAATGCATAGAAGAAGGAGGGAATGAGGGGGAGAAGACCAGCATCCAGGAGACATGGAATAGTGTAGAAGGTTATGGATACTTTGGAGGAGGTGGAATGTTGAGCTTTTGCATATCAATACCATCAATTTTAAGACTTGGAATTTCCTAAACTATAATAAATAGAGGACATCCTCATTGGCCACCTTCCAGAACTCACGGCTGTTTTCCCCAGAAGGGATCATAAAATGAGGCCCCCATAACCATGCCAGCGGACTCCGCGCCAGGCTGTTTTCACTTGGGGCGCTCCAGAGGGGGGCAGGTGAGAGCCCTCCTCACCCCGAGGGATCCAACCCCAGCAACCAATCTCCACTACCCAACCCTACCATGCTCCAGGCTGCTTTCCACACACTCGGACCGAGCCTCATACAAGAGTGAAGTCCCACAGAACCCAGGTAATGTGAAACTTTGTGATCTTGGACTCTCTACTCCAAGGAACTTGGGAACAGAGATCCTTTGCCTATTTTCTCCAGTCTCCAGTGACCCAGGGGCCATACCCATAAGTCACCTCCTACCGGTGCCAGATAATCTCCTCATTGGACACCCTCCAGAACTCACTCTGCTTCTCCTGGAAGGGAACATAAAATGAGGCCCCCCCATAAGCATGCCACCAGACTTCACGCCAGTCTGTTTTCACTCGGGGCGCCCCAGAGGGCAGCGGGTAAGAGTCCACCCCGCCCCAAGGGACCCAGCCCTGGCAGCTGACCTCCACTACCCAACCACCGCCATGCTTCAGGTAGCTTTCCACACACTCTGGCCGAGCCTCACATATGAGAGAACATATTCTGGACATATTATAAGACATTCTCTACTCATTTTCCATAATTACCACTCCATATTTGATGGAGTTCAGACTGTAGGCAACAAATCATAGAGGGAAATTTAATATATATGCCTCTCGGAGAGCCTGGCAAGCTACCAAGAGCATCCCACCCGCATGGTAGAGCCTGGCAAGCTACCCGTGGCGTATTCGATATGCCAAACACAGTAACAATAATGGGTCTCATTCCCCTGACCCTGAAAGAGCCTCCAATACGGTACCTTTGGGAAAGACAAGTAAGGAGAGGCTGCTAAAATCTCAGGGCTGGGACGAATGGAAATGTTACTGATGCCTGCTCGAGCAAATTGATGATCAATGGGATTGTAGTAATAGAGTGATAGTAAATAGAAGATAAAAAGAATCATGCAAAATTATGGTAGTTATGAGATTAGAGCAGTTTTGAGAGATATGATTCATATTGTCAGAATTCTTAATATAAAACTGTACTTACCATCGAATTTTAGTAATGATTTGGTTTGGGGCACACCTGGCATGCTTAGAGTTTACTCCTGGCTCTGCACTCAGAAGTCATGCCTGGTGAGGCACAGGGGACCATATGGGATACCAGGGATCAAAGTCCGGTCAGCTGTGTGCAAAGCAAGTGCCCTAAGTACTATATTATCACTCCAGCCCCAATAATGCCTTTTTGATTATTTTCTTTTGGTGCTGGGCAGTCACACCTAGGACCTCACTCTACCACTGATCCACACCACTAATCCGTAAAATGTAAATTAATGCTTTTGTCATGTGTATTTTGGTAGTGGTTCTCAAATTTTTGTAGTTCTTTTTTAAAGATATTTGTGGTTAACACCTAATGCTTTTCAAATTTATTATCTTAAATTGCTGTAATGTACATATTATTATGTTTTGTGTCTGTGTCTGTGAATTCCTTTGGTGACATTTGTTTAGATCTTTCTCTGGGCTTGTATTCATCCCTCCGGCTGTGATGCCAGGATCCTAACTGCAAGGCTCAAATATGGATCTGAAATACTCACTGTTCTTGCACCTGCCATCTTGTTTCCTTAGTTCAGATTGGCCTGGTACATGTTTCACTTGCCTGTAGGTGAGCTAGTTAATGGTGCTTTACCTGTGGCTGTATGTCCCTTACGAGAACTCCAGAAACTGAGCAGCTCTTATCAGATATTTAAAAATTAATGAACCTAGTACAAAAACCATTAAAATTATCCTACTCTGGATATTTTAATACTTTTATGATTTTAATCAGTGAAACAAAATGAAGTAAGCATTCTCTTAATTTCAGGCTACTCGTGTGATGTGGACACCACCTCTTCGGGAAAGCTTTTCATATCCATTTCTCGTACTTGAGATGTATGTTTTAACTCTCATGCTCAGGTAATTTCCATTTAGAAAACCAATTATAAATCAACTTTAAATATATTAAGATATATTTCGGCCTATTAAGAGCTGAATTTAGGTTTATCAAATTTAGGTTTTCAAATTTCTATAATTGCTATAAGATAGAGTATTAAGAAAATAATCTAATATTACTGTGTAAAAAATTCTTTCCAGAGAGGCTGGAGAGATAATACAGTAGGTAAGAAACTTACCTGGGTTCAATACCCTGGCACCATATATGGTCCCTTGAGCACTGCCGGACTGCTGAGTGCAGTGACAGCTATAAGCTCTGAGCACCTGAAAAAGAGAACAGAAAATATTAGCAAAACGCAGTAAACTTTGGCATAGAAATTAGTTCCTAGCTTATTTATTAGTAAGATCTCTTTATTGAACTATTTATATCATTATGTCCACTGATTCCCAGAGAGCCTCAGACCTCACAAATAGGAGTGATTCTGCCTATGTCGAAATCATTTGCGTGATGTCCTCTTTGTTGCAATTACAGATGTGCTAATTAAGTATGAGAAACTTCCAGTGCAAGTGCCTCTGCCTCAGCCAACAATAATTTTGTTTGATAGAATATAAGATAACTCTTTCCTTACCGGATTGGAGGGGGACAAGAGGCAGATAAGAGGCAACAGGGGCCAGGTCAGGGAAAGCAGTGTTAAGGAATGATAGAGCCACATATGCAAACCACAGAGTCAACAACACTGAAATCAAGAGACCCAGACTTTGGCAACCGAACTTAGAAAGGTGCCTGTCCAGAGGGCAGGCTGGGGCAAAGGCGCTGGTATGGGAGGGAACCTGGGAACACGGGTGGAGTTAAGTTGACGCTGTATTGGAATTGGTGCTGCAGTATTGAATAGCTTTTATAAATTATGGTGCTTTAATAATTTTAAAGCTTTTTAAATTATAAAAAGTACAAGGTAATTGATTTATGGATGTATTTTATAATGTTACCAAACAGTATGAACTTTTAAGTTTTGATTCTAAAATTTGATGTTATTATACAAGAATTTACCAAGCATCACTACTTGTAAGAATAGTTTGTTTTATTATTTATATAATGTGAATTTCTATTTCAAATTCTCAAAAGATACTTTTCTTTATTGGTAAAAGGTGCTGATACTGATATATTTCATATCAGATTTTTTTTTTTGCTATTTGGGTCACACCCAGCAATGCTCAGGAATTACTCCTGGCGGTGCTGGGGGGACCATATGGGATGCTGGGAATTGAACTCAGGTTGGCCGCATGCAAGGCAAACACCCTACCTGCTGTACTATCTCTCTAAGCCCCCATATCAGCTTTTTTTATAGCACAAATATTTTAAGTTCTGTTATAAATGAGTTTTTAAAAGTAAACAATAATTCATTGCATCAAAGTTAAACGATTAATTTGTATTGTTTTGATGTGTCTTTCTATATAGTGATATTTCATGTTAGAAATTGCAGTTGTACATTGATCATTTAAATTTAGTAAAGCAAAAGCACTTTAGTGCTATTTAGAATACAAGAATTATTCTTTGTAGGTCATTTTTTTTAAATCACATTTTTACATGAGAGCACTGTGATTTATAGAGTTATTCGTTGTTGAATTTTAGACATACTGTATTGTAGCACCCATCCCACCACTAATGTCAACTTCCCTCCACCAGTGTTCCCAGGTTCCTTCCCCTGTTCCCGACCCTCACCCTATCCCCGGCCAGCCAGCACAGCCTGCCTTGTCGACAGGCATCTTTCTAAGCTTGGTTGTTAAAGTTAGGGTCTCTTGATTTTAGTGTTGACTATGTGGGCTGGATTTTTGACTCTTTGATTCCTTTACTTGACCTTTGAACCTACTTCCTGTCCTGGCCCCCATTGCTTCTCATCTGTATTTCTCCCCTCACCGCCTGCAGTCTTTCTTTTCTCCTCTATGTACTGGGGCCAAGATTGATCAGGGCATCCCTCTTTAAAACACTGCATTCCCATCTTAGTTCATTGTTTTATGTTTCTGTTTTGTTTTGCTTTGGGGTCATACCCAGTGATAATCAGGACTTACTCCTCACTCTACACTCAGGAATCACTCCAGGAGGTGCTCAGGGAACCATATGGGATGTGGGGATTGAACCTGGATCAGCCACATGCAAGCAAGTGCCCTACCTACTGGTTTGAAAAACCCCATTAAGTCTTTCTTTTAAACAACTTAATTTTACAATTCTTTCCCTTGAATTTTTCATAGTTTTAAACTTCTTCACTAGCACATATACTTCATTGCCCTTTTTTTGGAGAGGGGATGCCGCACTTGTGCTCAGGCTGACTCCTGACTGTCCTCAGGGATCACTCCTGCAGGGTTCCAGTGTCTGTCTGGGGCTTGGGGGGTGGAATGTTGCTTGGCCATGTGCAAGGGAAGTACCTTGTCTGTCGTATGATGCTCCAGCCCCACTCCATTGTCCTTTGAAGTATGAAGATACGGTTTACTTTTAAAACTGATATATGAAATTTCTGCTTTTCAGATAGGGCAGAGGTTCCCAACTCATGGTCACCTTTCAGAAAAAGAATTATTCTGCCCCTCAGGAATCTCCCTACAAGTGAACAAATGGTGCATGCCCAGCAGTCAAACAGAAGATAACTGCCACCCTCAGTGTTATCCCAGCCTCCAGTGACGGGACAGGCCCATTGTGTTATATGGGAGGACTAAGGAACTCCTTGGGATACCAGACCACATTCTGTTTCTGATCCCAGTGGAGTATTAAATTAGCAATGACATAAAATCTACTGACATAAATTAATGACATATGACAAAATACTATGCCTATAATATTTACTGGTATGATATAATGTTTTATTTGAAACTCTTATTTGTATTTTTTTCGTTTTGGTTTTTGGGCCACAGTTGGCTGTGCTCCAGGTTTACTCCTGGTTCTCTGTTCAGGGATCACTCCTGGCAGGCTCAGGGGATCCTGTGGGGTGCTAGGGATCCAACCCTGGTCAACTGTGGGTAAGGCAAGCATCTTTCCTGCTGTACTATTACTCCAGTCCCTAATTTGTATTTTTTTAATTGATGGTCATTTTTACAATAACAAGTATTTTATGTTCTGTTAAATGAGTTTTTAAAAGTAAACAGTAATTCATTTATCAGAGGTAAGGGATGATTGGTGTTTGTTGTTTTGAAATGCTTTTCTGTGTAGTGATAGGTTATTTTTGTGTTAAAACTTACTGATAACAATTTTCTCCATCAAGGACCTCGAACCTTAATAAAAAGCATTTCATTGCACTTTGTGTGTCCAATGTTGCTTTTATGCTTCCCTGGCAGTTTGCTCAGTTTATCCTTTTCACACAGGTAAGATGATTTTAAAGTGACTTGAATTGAGTGCAAGATGTATTTAGTTGCTTCTATAGGAGTTTTATGTGTGATTGCATAAAACATTTTCAAATTAATGTGCCCAAAAGATTTTCAAATTACGAAATTATGATGTTTATAAAATGTGTCACTGAAAATTCTAAATGTTATAATTTTTAGTAGGTACCAGTGATTATTATGCAGAATAAATGTTGTTATTTTAATTCTATCTTATTGATAATTTGAAATTATGTTTGTCAGCTTATAGATTTTTCTTTTACCTTAGCAGTTATGTTGGGTGCCACAGGTACACAGCATGTTAAGAGCCAGTTCTACTCTTCACATAGCAGTTATGGTTCTCACACAGCTAATAAATGTTGTTCATTTTGTCAAAACATTTGTATTGCAGGCCATTTTTTACACTTTCTCCAGAATATTATTTGAGGGAATTGAAATTGTGCCGTGCTTTCCTAAACAGTTATTAGGTAATCAATGATAAGAAATCATACGAAGTAAGCAGAAAGATACATTTTTTAAGGAAATGTAATGCTTCTAAGATTTTCTATTAAAACTTCTTTTGCCTCCCAAATTTTGATGATGACAGTGATAATATTTGCAGTGAAAAAAAAATCTGTCAGAAAGCTCTCTGCTACCAATTGCCGTTGCTTAAAAGTTCTCTTTCAGGTTTACTTCCTTATAGTTTTCCCTTTCAGGTAGCACTGTAGCACTGTCCTCGGGTTGTTCATCAATTTACTTGAGCGAGCACCAGTAGCGTCTCCATTGTGAGACTTGTTACTGTTTTGGGCATATCAAATATGCCATGGGGAGCTTGCCAGGCTCTGCCGTGTGGGTGGGATTCTTTCGGTAGCTTGCCGGGCTCTCCGAGAGGGACAGAGAAATTAAAACCGGATCAGCAGCGTGCAAGGCAAATGCTCTACACGCTGTACTATAGAAATTATTCTGTGGGCTTCATGGATTACACATTCTGACATATAAAAGAGCTCTAATGGGCTTCACTGCCTTGCAAGAAAATTTATTTATGCAGAGCTTCTAATGAAATGTTTTAAGTAGTGCTTTGAGTAATTTTTATATTGCCTCAAAGAATTTATATACATTAAAATTATGTACCATACTTTGCCTTTATTTGCCTTTTTGGGTAATTTTTAATTGAGATGGAATTGATAAATTTATAAATCAACTTTTAGAGGTACCATAGGCTGGAGTGATAGCACTGTGGGTAAGGCATTTGCCTTGCACTCAGCCAACCCGAGTTCGATTCCTCCGCCCCTCTTGGAGAGTCAGGTAAGCTACCAAGAGTACCTTGCCCACATGGCAAAGCCTGGCAAGCTACCCGTGACGTATTCAATATGCCAAAAACAGTAACAACAAGTCTAACAATTTGTTGAGACATTACTGGTGTCTGCTCGAGCAAATCGATGAACAACAGGAGGACAGTGCTACAGTGCTATATTATATTAATAAAATTATAACTGATATATAAGTTAACAGATCTTAGGTCACTACTCTTATTTTAGTGAGAACCTTTGAGGTCTAGTCCCTTAGCCACTTTCCCGTACACAAGACGTACTGACTATAATCACTACTCTGTGCATAAATCTTTAAAACTTATTCATTGTCTACTTGCACAGTTATCTCCACTTACCCAGCCCAGGCCCTGGTAATTACCTTTCTTCGGTATCTGTGAATTTGACTTTCTTTAGAGTTAACATATAAAATATTTCATACAAGCCTTTGTCTTGCTTACCTCACTTTGTATAAAGTAGTTCAGGTTTATTGATGTTGTTGCAAACAGAAAGGGTCCCTCACTGCTGTGACTGAATAATACTGCATTGTGATTGTACTACATTTTCTCCTGATCCTGTGTTGGAAGACCCTTAGGTGTGTAAGCAAATGGGGCTACATTAAACTAAGAAGTTTCTGCACCTCAAAAGAAACAGTGATTAAGTTATAGAGAGAGCCCACAAAATGGGAAAAATTACTTACCCAATATCCATCTGATAAGGGGTTAATATCCAGGATATACAAAACACTAGTAGAATTGTATGAAAGAAAGAAAGAAAGAAAGAAAGAAAGAAAGAAAGAAAGAAAGAAAGAAAACCTCTAATCTCATAAAAAAAATGGGGAGAATAAAATGAATAGAAGCTTCCTCAAAATGTAGTCCCGTTTGTTTATGTTTGTTTCCACTTCCTTGGTCAGAGCTGTTTAATCCTTAAAGATGCTTTTAGTTTCAGTGCCGTTGAAGGTTCTGCCTACATTTTCTTCCATGTGCCTTATGGATTCAGGTCTGATATTGAAGTATTTAATCCACTATGATCTGACTTTTGTGCCTGGCATTAGACAGAGGTTAGAGTTCATTTTTTTGCAGGTAGCTGTCCAGTTTTTCCAGCACCATTTGTTAAAGTCTTTCCTTGTTCCACTTCACATTTCTTGCTCCTTTATTAAGGATTAGGTGATCATATGTTTGAAAGTCTATGATAGACTATTCAACTCTGTTCCATTGGTCTGTGGGTCTGTTTCTAGTCCAATACCATGCTGTTTAAACTACTACTGCTTTGTAGTACAGTTTGAAGTTGGGGAGGGTGATGGCACCCATCTTCTTTTTCCAAGGATTGCTTTAGCTATTTGTGGGGCGTTATTGTTCCATATGAATTTCAGAAGTGTTTCGTCTGTTTCTTTGAAAATTGTCCTGGGTATCCTTATAGGGACACATTAAATCTGTATAGTGCTTTGGAGAGTATTGCCATTTTGACAATGTTAATCCTCCCTATCCATGAGCAGGGGGTGTGTCTCCATTTCCTAGTGTCTTCCTTTATTTCTTGAAGTACTGTTTTGTAGTTTTATTTGTACTGGTCCTTCACCTCTTTAGTTAAGCTGATTCTGAGGTACTTGATATTCTGAGGTACTATTGTGAACAGGGTTTTTTTTTTAAATATCTCTTTATTCTCTTTCTTTATTTGTATATAGAAAAGCCATGGACTTTTGGGTGTTGATTTTGTAGCCTGCCACTTTACTATTCAAATCTGTTGTCTATGGGAGCTTTTCTGTAGAGTCTTTAGGATTTTCTGAGTTTAGTATCATATCATCTGCAAATAGTGATAGCTTGACCTCTTCCTTTCCTATCTGTTATGCCCTTGATATCATTTTCTTGCATAACTGCTATGGTCAGAACTTCCAGCACTATATTGAATAGGAGTAGTGAGAGCGGGCAAGACCAGGTACTCCAGGTCTTCTTGTTTCAGCTTTGTCATGTGTCGGATCTTAGAGGGAAGCCTTTTAGTTTCTCCCCATTGAGATTGGAAGCTTGCTGTGGGCTTGTGGTAGATGGCTTTGACTATATTGAGGAAAGTTTCTTCAATGCCCATTTTGCAAAGAGTTTTTATCATAAATGGGTGCTGGGTCTTGTCAAATGCTTTCTCTGCATCTATTGATATGATAAATGGTTTTTATATTTTCTTTGTTTTGATGATGGATTATATTGATTGACTTGCAAATGTTAAACCATTCTTGCATCCCCGCGATGTATCCTACTTGGTCATGGTGTATGATCTTTTTGATGAGTCATTGGATTCTGTTTGCTAGGATTTTGTTGAGGATCTTTGCCTCTGTGTTCATTAGGGATATCGGCCTGTAATTCTCTTTCTTGGTACTATCGGTGCTATCTCTGTCTACTTTTGGTATCAGGATGATATTTGCTTCATAGAAACTGTTTGGAAGTGTTTCTGATTCTTCAATTTCCTAAAAAGGATTAGGAGTCAGTCCTCTTTAAAGATTTGGAAGAATTCACTAGTGAATCCATCTGAGCCAGGACTTTTGCTAATGGGAGACTTTTTATTACGGTTTCAATTTCCTTGATGGTGATAGGTTCATTCAGGTACTCCAGGTATTCTTGGTTCAGCCTTGAGAGGCTATAGGAATCCTGGAATTTATCCATTTCCTTGAGGTTTTCTTATTTTGTGGGATAAAGATTCTCAAAGTAACTTCTGAGGATTCTTTGAATTTCCAGTTTCTTTTGTAATGCCCCCCTATTTGTTTCTGATTCAGTTTATTATAGTTTTCCCTCTGCCTTTCTTTGTGATTCTTGGTAGAGGTTTATTGATCTTGTTTTTTTTCTCAAACCAGCTCTTGGTTTCATTGATCTTTTGGATTGTTTTCTTGGACTTCCATCTCATTAATTTCTGCTCTAAGTTTTATTATTTCCTTTTTGCTGCAGGGGTTGAGCTCCTTTTGTTGGTCATTCTCCAAGCTCTTAAGCTGTAAGGTTAGGTTATTTATGTGGGCTTGCTCTTTCTTCCTGAGGAATGCTTGTAGAGCTATAAACTGTCCTCTTAACACAGTTTTTTTTGTGTCCCATAAGTTCTGGTAACTTGTGTCTTCATATTCGTTTGTTTCCAGGAATCTTTTGATTTCCTCTCTGATTTCCATTCTGAACCCCTCATTGTTCAGTAGTGAGCTGTTTAATTCCCAGATATTTGATTTCATTTTCTGCTTGTTTGTGTGATTCACTTCTATTTTCAGTGCATCACTGTCTGAGAAGATCATTGATACAGTCTCTATATTCTTAATTTTATAGAGTATGTTTTGTGGTCCAGCATGTGGTCTATCTTGGAAAATATCCTATGCACACTTGAGAAGAATGTGTACTCAACTTTCTTGGGATGAAATATTTTATATATATATGAGACATTTACTGTGTGTGTATATATATATAAAATTACTTGACATCTCGTTACTCATCAATTTGCTCGAGCAGGCACCAGTAACATCTCCATTTATCCCTGTCGCATGCTAGTGTAGCCCAATGCTGTCTGCTTGCTCCAGGAACACGAAGAGCCTCAAACTATTCGTTCAGGGTCTTGATGAAGAAGTCTGACCATCTCGTAGGTGGGCGGCCAAGCAGTCTTTTGACGTCCCGTGGAATCCAACTGGTAATGGCTCTAGTCCAGCGGTCATCTTCAAATCGCATTACATGTCCAGCCCAT